CAGCGCTGCGCCCCCTCCCGGCTGGGCCCGGCCGCGCCCGCCAGGTGGTGCCCGAGCGCGAGGCAATGCGGGGCGGCTGGCGCGGCGTCGGCTTCCCAGGCGTGCGGCGGGACTGGGGCGCTGGGAGCAGAGGGGGAACACGGCGGCCTGAAGTGTTCTCCGCCCCGCCCGCCCGCTTCCTCTGCCGCAGAAGGCGCGGCAGGTAGGCCGGGAGCTTCCTCCCTTTGGCTCTTCAGGTTGCATGCTGCCAGCGGGCAGACAGGTTTCCCTGCCACCCGACCTAGGGTGTCTCACGATCGCAGACGCCGGCCGGCGTGCACCAGGCTTCCCCGGGAAGGAAAGCAGCCGGCGGCCTGGCCCCTGCCCCGCGCCCGCCTCGAGCCTGCTCGCTCAGCCCTCCGAAAGGTGCATGCTCACCCCCGGGAATCCAGGAGAAGAGGATCTTCACAGATCACAGTGAAAGGATCGCCACAATGTACTGCCGGCACGCGTCATAAAATCCTCCTTCAGAGTTTGGAGCCAGCAGCCGCTTGCTCTTGCCTCTCCTCCAGGAATCTTCTCCAGCTGCCAGCCGCACCGCCTCCGCCCCTGCCACCATCAAGGCACGAGCCTTGGCCTCTTTCCTGATAAAGAACCAGCCAGCTGTCTGGGGCACAGCACTTGCTATTCTGGTCACTTTTTTTTTTTTTTTAAATAAATTTATTTCTTGAAATTAGTTTCAAGTATACAGTACATTGGTTAGACATCTATAATGTTCATAAAACGATCCCCCCAATTGCTCCCTCCCTCCCCTGGCCCTCCACTAGCCATCATATTCATGCTGACTGCATTCCCTCTGCCATGCTCCCTGTGACCAGCTATCGGCTACTAATTTGTACTTCTTTAACCCTTCACCCCATTCTCCCAGCCTCCCAACCCCCCTCCCCTCTGTCTGTCACCAAACTGTCCACTGTATTTGTGAGTCATTTTTTGATTAGTTTGTTCTTTTTGTCCCTTAGATACTGCATACAAGTGAAATTGTATGTTCTGGTCATTTCTTATTCATTGCTTAAGAGAGCGTCTTCCTTCACAATCTAGTCGATGCTGGATGCACACATATACTCACTCCTTTGTACAGATAATTTTTCCAGTGAAAATACTTGTCCTGTGTCAATAGAATGCATTGTTTTGAATTCCATGACCGCCAGAACTACTTGCCTTATGTTTTTGGCCAAGCATATGGCATATCTTGGAGGATATTCCATGTGCACTTGATTCCACTGTTGTCTGGCCAAGTGGTTTTTAAATGTCAATTAGGTCAATTGGTTTAAATACCCATATTGATTTTGTTTGTTCTGAGAAAGCTAGAGGTTTCCAACAATAACTGAATTTGTCTAATTTTCCTTTCAGATCTCAGTTTTTTCCCACATGTTTTCGAAGCTCTGCTTAGAGGCATACACTTAGGATCATTATGTCTTCTCGATAAAACTTTTTAATCACTTATATGTTCTTGATCGATGGTAAAACCTTGGGTTCTGATGTCTACTTTGATATTAGTTATATAGCCACTTCACCTTTCTTATGAATGGGATGTACATGGTATATTTCATTCTGTCATTTTAATTTGTCTATGTTTCAAAGCGACAGTGCATATTGGATCAAGCTTTTTCATTTTATCCAGTTTGACAACCTCTATGTTTTGACTGCAGTGTTTAGACCATTCAGATTTCATGTGATTATAGATACGGCGAAGTTTAAGTCTACTGTCTTGCTATTTGTTTTCTATTTGTTCCATCTTTGTTTCTTTTTTCCTCTTTTGGATTATTCGAGTATTTTTTAGGATTTCATTTTCTTTCCACTGTTAGCTTATCTTATATACCTCCTTGTTTTATTTTTTAGCTCTGGGATTACAATATGCATCTATAACATCGTGTCCTACGTTCAGATAAAATTCTGCCATTTCATGTGTCCTGTAAGAACCTTGGAACCGCATAAATCCGCATAAATCCACTATCAACTTCCTACTTTGCCATGTAACTCTCCCTGCTGTGCTGGCTGATTAGTGCACTGCTTGCTTGCTTTGGTGCTTTTTGGAAAGCCATCTAGTAGTGTCGATTAGAAAATTGCTTTGATAAAGCAATTCCACAGCCTGGAATCTTACCTATCAATATCTAAAGAGACAGGTATAAGGATGTTAACCTTAGCATTTTTGTAAAACCACAAAAAGAGGAAACTGTGTTTGTTAATATAGAAATTGCAGAAAAAAATTATGGTCCATCATAGCATATAATACCATGCAGCTATTTAAGAAAAATAAGTCGTTTTAGAAAAATGTCAGTGGTATATTAAGAAAAAGAAGAAAGTTACAGAGTATTATCATCCATCCTATTTTTGTAAACAACAATCATAAACAGAAGTTACTAGAAAAATAATTATAATAGTAAACAGTACTAGCATTCTTACACTTACAAGTTCGTTTAATTTTCCCATTAGCCTTGTAAGAAATACTATGATTAGTCCCAGTTGACAGGTGAGGCAACAGAGAAGTCAATAACTCGCCGAAGGTCACTTGCCAATAAGTGGCACAGCTGGGATTCAGACTCTGGCTGCCTTCGTCCCGCCTCACTAAACACCAAATTGTTAATATCAGGTGAGTTGCAGAAAAGAAAGGCGAAATTACTAATTTTACTTTTGATGATTCTAGATTATTTACATCCAGGAAAAAGTGCTTTTGCATTTTAACTGACACGTGTGTAAACTTGCTAATAGATGTTAAAACTCTAAATGAAGTAAGTACAAGAAGGGTTGCAAGGACAGATTAAAGAATATTTAGTCATACGGCCTATTGTCTTGAACGTGGAGACAGGCTTTCTGAAAAATGCAGTGGCGGGAAAGCGGCATGAGGTTCTGATTTGCTAAAAGGAACTGCCTTGTGGAAGAGGGTACTTTCACTGTGGCACTTTGTGAGAAACACCAAGGCTTCCTACTGGCACGTTTCCAACATTCCCCCCTTCTTTGTTCAGAAAAGATTAAGGGACTGAAAACTTCTGCTTGGAAAGCCCCAGAGGTGAGTGTGCTGGTTTTAGAAGCACTTTGAAAAATAGAACGCCCATGTTAACATGTTAAATCTACTTTTGAAAAAAAGCTTAATTTAAAAAAATTAAATTACTTTTTAAAGACTTTATTTCTATATTTATAGAACTATCACTCGATTCAAATCGTTTATAAAAAATTAATGGAGAATACCATTTGTTACCAACATAATCCATTTAAATGGGCTAGAGGATGTCATCTTTTCTATATAAATAGCATTATTATGAGAAACATGCAAGTATGTTAAACATGATTTTTCTCTGTGAAGTGACGGATGCACACACTATAGCTAAGGGGTTGCTCATCATTTGCAAAAACTAGTTTAAGTGTTACTAATGATTTAAAAATCACCCACATTTATAAGCACGTGTAAGGTTAAATTTGGTTATGCCTAATAACTATCAAAATACATTTTAAACAATAGTATTTATTAAAGTTAAATGTTTCCAAATGTTTCTTAAAGGCACTTAGGTGACAATGAATCATTTTATTTGTACTGGGGGGAAAACGAAGCACATTATACAAACACAGGAATCATAGGGGTTTGTTTAACAAATCTTATATGAATACTGTGCACCTCACCTTGGAAATCCCCACTACTCCCCACTTCTGCATGAACTCAAGTTTTCAGAATTAAAAAGGTAAAATAAAAATGTGGCTATCATTTTTTATTCTAGTTAATGGCTTGCATTATAGTACATTTTAACAGTCCTCATTTAAGAGTTAGAAAACAGGCACAATCTTGTTAATGAAATGCTTATAAATGTCAGTAAGAATGAGAGTTAATCAGTTAATGTAATTTTTTCATATGGCGAAATATAAATAATTATTGTTCTTAGGCATAGAACTAAGAAGCATACATAAAAAAGTAGTCACTAAGTAAACATAATACTTTATAAATTTTTCTTTCAGTGAAATTTACTAATAAATACTTTTTTATTACCAACCTTGTTATGTTTTTGCTGTTCCTCTCATCTTGCCTATAAAACACTTTTTAAACAAAAATAAAGCATTCATAAATCAGCGTTCATTCAGAGACAAATTAAGGTGCAATATTATTCCATAATGACACCCAAACGTAATATGAAAATTTACAAAAACTTTTGAATTGTAGACATGGAAATCTATCTTGCTTGCTTTGGTATAAAATAATATATTTTTTTTAGTTCTACAGATCTGGTGTTCAAAATAAATGAATTTCTAAACGGTAAGAGTAAAATATAGTAGTCATCACATACATTTTTGTATATTTTGTTATAGATAAAATGGTTTCAGGTAGAAACAGGAATAAATTTATATTTCCTCTTTTTCCCCTCCTATATTTTTCCCTCCTAAATAAATAAATATTACTTATTTATAGTATTTTTCATTTTTCAATTATAGTTGGCATACAATACTATATTAGTTTCACGTGTATAACATAGTGATTAGACATCGATATAACTCACAAAGTACTCACCCCAATAAATCTAGTACCCATCCGACACAGTACATAGTTATTACAATGTTATTGTCTATACTCCTTATGCTATACTTTATATCTCCATGACTATTTTGTAACTACTAATCTGTACTTCTTAATCCCTTCCTCCTTTTTTATCGATCCCCCAGCCCCTCTCCCATC